CGAAAAAATAATATATATCATAATAAAAATATATAATAATAGTACATAAGAAGGAAAAAATATATGAATATATTCTGAAATTCTAAAACATTTCTGAATAACATCATAATACTCCACATAATAAAAGGACGATACTTCATTCAAGGTACCATACTAAACGAAAAGGAAATAACTGTTGTAAATTCCACAAAGCTAAATAGTACTAAAATAAAAAGAAGAAATGGAACGTTATAAGTCCCGGAAAGTTAACAAAGAGAAAGAAAGGGACGTCATCAATTCCTACGTAAACCACACATCGAATGGAGCCATAACCTTCTTCTCGGACTCTCACTTTAACTAATCACCACCATGACAAGGTGCAAAGGGAAGACTAGAAAGTTAGGAAATTCAAACTCGCTGAAAGGAAAACAAAACAAAACGGAGTTGAGACTGCCTGACTGAGGATAAACGGTCGAAGATCCTCTACCACTTCGATTCGCTTAAGGGTGACACCCTCCTCCGAATCGAATGGATAAATCAATTGAACAGTTTGTAAACACGATTGCGAACTTTTTTCGTACTACGACGAATTTTGCTTATAGGATATCAGTGACTTAGGGAAAACGGACCAATATTAACGATAGGAATATTTTCCAAGAACGATAAACCGCGTATTTAGCAACACAAAATAGGTGCCATGAAAACTACACAACCAGTAACAGGAATGACTCCTACCGCACCAACAGTGACACCTCGCTAATGGAAATTCAATTAACGACTCCATGCTCATCACTTTCCATTTTCCCACGCTCATGAGCATGTACACATTCCACGCGACAGTCCATTAGGGAAGTCGCGACAATTCATTACCGGCCACGTTCCCACGCTATCAGCGCACACGTCTCCCAGGCGAAAGCCGCCGAAATCCATTAAAGGCCACGCCCACTGCAATTAGCACTTCGAACTCCATTAAAGGCCACGCCCATTGCAATTAACACACCGATAATGGACAAAAAACAACAAAGATGACAGAGAACCTGGCAAGCGAGCCGATCACTATAAAAGGGTTAAACATAATCCGTCGGTTATCATATCAATTGCTACTCTTGAATAGCCCAACAATCTAGTTAAGCTAAGACTACATGTCTTTCGCTTCTCATGTCTCATGTGGTCTACTTCGACGCATTAAATTGTTAAAGCAAACAAGGACCCCTAACTGAAGAAGCTAATTTCAGATATGGCGGATCATGAATCCGACCATTTTAAGGCTGACTCCTTTGATGGGGACAATGAAAGCGTCAACAATGACCAAGACCACTTCCATCTTGAGGACAACGAAGATGACGAACCATACCAACCCAATAATGATGATGGTCACAACAACGATGAAGCCAACCGCCAACAACCAGACGTGGCAGAGGAGCTCAACGCTCTTCAGTCTGCCATTTCAAGAATTTCGAGAAAAGTCTCAACGAATCAGGTGAACCTTTCTCTGGGGTCATTAACCCTAAACATAACCCTAACTAATAATGAGACTTTCCTACTTTAAGAAACGGAGCAATGGGGAACCCGCTTTCAAAGAACCCCACATCAAAAGGAAAAAATTTCCGTTGACAAGGTACCTCCCCGAAAACAATATAATTCAACTAAACCTAACACCAATTCATTCAGGTATATCTGCGAGAAATCGAACACCGCATCTCGCAACTTGAACGTGCCACCCAACGTCTAACCGAAACCATGCAGCGTTGGGAAGACCAGCAACAACCACGACAACAGCAACAGCAACCTGCACCACACGCCGATCAAAACCGGCGCCGCCGTAACTCGCCACCTTCACTAGACAATAGAAGAAACCAAGCAACTACCACCTGTGCATTCTGTGGCGACGAACACTGGGCCACAGATTGCACACAGTACCGAACTCTTTCACAGAGACGTGCACAATGCTACAATAGAAACCGCTGTGAACGTTGTCTAAGAGAAGCCACTCATATGGTTACTTCTTGCAATGTTAACCTCCAATGTTTCTACTGTAGGCGAGATCGCCGTACCAACGTAATGTCGCGCCACAATTCGGCGTTCTGCCCATACCAGTTTCCAATGTAAGACCATCACAATTCTTATCATTGAATTATTCTCATAAAGAGATTCTTTGGGAACTCCGTACTCCCTTCACTTATCACAATTCGATTGTACGGATTTGGTCGATTCATTTATTTTATTTAATATTGGTCGATTGATTAATAAAGGGTTAGTAGTGGACAAGAACTCCCATGTATCAATATTCAAAAGGAAAGAATGAGATAAAGGAAAAAAAGAGAAGACAATTAGAAAAAAAGGAAACATGACAGGAAAAAAAATAAATTAAATTAAGACAGTAAATAATTGATGAAATCTCCTTTTCCATCACCTCCCAACACTATATAAACTCCGACCACAGCCTGAGCAACAACATTTCGTATCTTCGGCTATGACAGCTTCTCGCTCCGACCAACCCTTCCACCTCAATGTTACCAAGCACGATCTGGAAATCCAGACTCATATTTTAACTTCTCTAATACAAGAAGCTAACGAATATACTTCTCCATGGGTATTTCCCGTGGATAACCTACAACTCAAAATTTACATTGCTACCAAAACACTTATGGTACAAAACCTTAAAGCAAAAATAGAACACCAAAGTTCAACAATATGGTCCACTTATGTAAATTCATGCAGGAAACTTGCCGAAGCCGCTAATAAAAACGAAGAAGAGTTAAACCAATTTGAGAACTTCTGGAACAACATACGAGGAACTACCCTAATAACAACTGCGGCAACAATGACCAGACAGCTTGAAAAAAGACTAATAGAACTTCGCTGCCACAAAATAGCAATGCAACACTACGCACGCACCCTACAATCAACTTCAACACACCACCCCATGCGCTACACACCATATCCAACCTTTGCACAAGAACCGTACCTGAATGCGCAACAACACCATCAAGATCCCCACACTCAAGAGAGGTCCTCATCCAGTCTCAATATACCTCCAATCGATCAACTAACTAGTTGGATGCTCAAACCTACAGACGAGACTACGACATCAACAACCGACATTAATAACTAATAACATTAATAACTAACTAACATTTAGCACCAACATTCACGCCAGCACTAAATACTGACAACTATACCCAGCCGTGCCTACACTACACAACTTAAGCTCGTATCCCACAATTCCATTTGCAATCCGAGCATGGGCACACTTATCAAAGCTCGCCATCTTGAAAAGTTTAACTTCAACGGGTATTCAAGCGCTTGCTATTAATACAGAAACAAAACATACGACCGGCTGCATTTTCAGAAGAAAACATAACACTCGCATTCGGCATGGGCACTAGCCGGGCTGGCGGCCTGATATTCTCTACCTAAGCAAGCAGATCTATCAATTAATTAACTATTCCATTCTAACCTGTACCAACTATTTCTATCTCACTAATCTAAAACTTCTGATAATAACTCAAACCATTACGGAAAAACAAATACAAGACAATTTAAAGTTGAAGGTTTAGCAACACTTCACAAGCGCCCAAGCAAATTTCTCAGTGTATTGGTTTGTGGTGTCCCGCTTACGTGATTACTGCGAACAATTCTGCATACGAATCGACAAGTAGTCTGCCGGTAGTGTCCTATGGCTAGATGTTACTTCTGGGCTCGGCGTTGACATTGATCAGAAGTGATTGCATAACCTCGACTCAAGTCTACCCAGATTTACTGGTAGTTTCTCATCGCGGTCGTCGAAAACTGGGAACTTCAGGTGCTGACGTAAACTTATGATGAGTTTACAGTCGGAAGCTAATTGATCGATGTTGCGTGCACATGTTCGTTATTTCTATGATTCATCTGCCCGCTGGCATTTGAAGTGTAGCCGGATTTTGTCGTTCTATTTTCTTGGATAGGTTTTATTTGGTTTTCGTAGTGTTTTCGTATTTTTGTCATTCGCATCTGTATTGATTTCTTGTGTATCGATTTTCTGAGTGCGCCATGAGAATGCTGGATTTTTCCATGACTCTTGGGATGCGTTCGGTTTTCAGGATTAGTTATCCATGGGGCAATGTTGAATGGTTCACGCTTTGAGGTTCCGGACGAGGTGTGTTCAACGTTAATTAAACGTTAATTATCGATTTGATAATACATTTATTTGAATGTTACATTTTGCATTTTGTTCATTGATATTTAAGTGATTAGAAGATTGTGAACTTGCCCTTTTTGCTTTTTTCTTTTTTTCTTTTTTTTGAATCTTGCAAGGAGCTTTAAATTATATCCTTTTGGCATGAGCTGCTTCTTGTCATTTTGAACTTGGGAGCAATTCGCATATATAAAAATAAGGCGCGCCTGCTACTGGAGAGAAATGAGCCAATCTGTTTAGTTCCGAATCGGGCTCTATGATACATAATTGGATTGTAAGGTGCCGGCACTACTGAATATGGGAGCCTATCTGGAAGAATATCATATCAATCTGAGGCGCATGCGCATAATAACGTCGAGAGCCCAAAAAAACATGAACTTACTGTAACGCTGAAAACAATAATAGGGAACCTTTTCATAACGAAGGATCTGAGCGTCTATATCACATAGTTTTACATCTCACTGCATACTGACGCTAAACTTCTGAAAGTCATGTCGTGCCGTCTCTGGCAGGACAAGCGGATCCGCGGAGAAGCGAGAATGAAAGGGAGAGCCTTTCGGTCATAGTTTCTTTTTCGGTGTGCACACATTTAACTTACTTATTGAGGGAGTCTTGATCTCCCTGTTTTCTCGTGTCGTGGTATTGGTTTCTTGATCTTAGGTAGTCGATATTAGTATTTGAATTGCAGCTCATTCCTTTTGTTAAGCTCCTGCTTGTTTGTTGCTCCCTTTTGGTCATAGCTCTTTGATAGAAATGGGGTATCTTGAATTGAGGCTCCAAGGTAAGGCTCCAAGCATAGGCTCCAAAGGAAGGCTCCATGTGTAATTGTGGCATGTGGCCACTCACCCGGGGTTATTCGAATTATCTCGAGGTTCCATCTTCAGCACTGGAACTCGAGAAGTTTGACAGGTCGGCAGGACGCCTTCGGCGTCGTGGCGGTCTGTCACCCTGCAGCTGCGCAATGGAACTAATAGATAAGGGTACCCGTAAATACGTTTGCTTTTTTTGATTATTATGGTATCAATAAACGGGGTCCTCGTGCTTCGTTAGGGCCCTGAGAGTGTCGCGACAGATTGAGATCAAAATCACGAAGCACGGGGTTAGGGAAGGGAGTTTTTTTTTTTTTTGAATCGCGGTTGATCCTTCCATATCTTCTATTCTAGTCGTTCCGATTGATTCATTTACTTTCAAATTTTGTTGTCTTATTTATATTTATTGTTGTCTGTACTTATTTATATCATATTGACTTATTTATATTTAGTTTAGGTAGTTTAGGTATAAAGTCTTCAACATGATTGGAGAAATTAGATAGGGTTTAGGGTTCGGTAAACTTATTAATGTTCTATTAGGCTTGCTGTAAAATATTGGAGCTTAGGATCTTGGTGATTTGGTTTGTGTGGGTTTATTTAGTCCTTACTGGTGTCGCATTTGTGTGCTCGGATCCGTTTCGGATCGGCCGATGCACCATGTTTCGACGGTAGAGTGGTAGATTGCCCTATGATGCGACTTCTATTAAATTATTTTATTGAAACAACACTTGTAAATACTAACATTTATTAACATCTCTTATACCACAATTCCTAAAAGCAATTGTTGACTTATATTACAACTTATACAATTTATTTCCTACATTAGTTAGCGTTATGTTTGGTTAGCCTTATTCTGAATTTCGTATTGGGTTCTTCAATATTGATTTGTGCCTTAGGGTATTGATTGGTAGTGGCTGGAGGTGTGAGTTGGTGGTCCTTGGTTAGTGATATTGATTGGTGGCCTTGGCCGGTGGATGGTCCACTGGCTGTACCTTATTGATTGCTTTGTGCTTATTGATTATTTGGTTATTGCTGGCGTTGCCGCCTTAGGTTATTGTGCGACCGGAGTCGCTTGTATGGAGACCGCTGGAGACGACTGGAGAAGTTGAGGAGACCGGCGAAGACCGCGAAGACTGGCCCGGAGTCTCCGAGTGCGTTATTTATACCCCCAG